TGGTTCTGATAAGCAGGTATTAATTTGTAGAGAAAATGTATAAATCCAAAGGGATACTGAATTAAATGCTTCATTGTCTTCTAATTTTTTCCCTCCTTCCATGAAATTTAGCTTTCAGAAGAACCAATTATTTACTTTGACATCTGCAGTTAGGACATTTGTTGTTGTTGTTGTTGTTGTTACATTTTATAATGCCCATAGCCAAAGTTCTCTGGGCAGTTTACAACAATAATCATAGAATCATTCACTCAAGTCACCATTTAAAGAGTAGTTTTACCATAAACTATTAAAAAGTCAACCAAAAACTGGAACACCTTATTTTTCTTAGATTTATCCTAAATACCATCTCTTGTGCAAAGCTCCAGACTTATCAGTGTAGAATGATTGGCCTGAATTGAATCAAATTTCAATTCTGTGACTTTGAGGCAGAGTCAAGACAGCCTTAGAGACCCAGCTCTGACCCCGGGAACTTGTTGCAAGGTCAGTATTGGTACTCTGAACTCAGAGCATCCTCCCTCTGTCCTTGCACCTGGCATGGAAAGGAGTGCTTCCACTGCATCTTTAAGTAGCTTTTGGGGGTGGAAAGGGGGCAAGGAGGAGAGGGGAAGAGATAGCCTCCACCAGTATGCACAGCATGCCAGTGTCACCTCAGCCTCCTCTCCTCATGATTCAAGACCAAGTATTTAGAAATTGGCCATCTAAGTGTTTTGACTGGAGTCCACCCTCAACTCCACACCCCCTATTCCATGCAATAGGATACCTGTAACATGCTGAGTTTGGAGGGTCACATCAACCTCACTGGATTCCATTGGACAAAGCTAAAATACACTTAAGCCTTCACCTTCCCATCACTTTTAGAGGTGCTGTTAAGTACAGTACCTGAGATCCAGAAAATCATGGAAGTTCACAGAGCGTATACAACCTGACAGCATTTTAGAAACTGTGAGGGGACTTTTAAAAGCAATTTACAATATGGCGTAGGAGTATGCCATCATCCTCGGGACCAAAATGTGCAGGGTAATCTTGAGATGGAAAATAAAATCAAGAGACCGTACCATAATTATGGGTGACTTCAACTACCCACACATTGACTGGATAAATGGATGTTCCAGGTCTCATGTTGTTGCTAGTCGCGAAGTCATGTCCATTCCATCGCAACCCCATGGACAACACTCCTCCAGGCCTTCCTGTCCTCCAGCATCCCCCAGAGTCCACGTAAGCTCTTGCCGACTGCTTCAGTGACTCCATCTAGCCACCTCATCCTCTGCCGTCCCCTTCTTCTTTTGCCATCAATTGTTCCCAGCATTAGGCTCTTCTCCAGGGAGTCCTTCCTTCTCATTAGGTGGCCAAAGTATTTGAGTTTCATCTTCAGGATCTGGCCTTCTAAAGAGCAGTCAGGGTTGATCTCCTCTAGGACTGACTGGTTTGATTATCTTGCTGTCCAAGGGACTCGCAGGAGTCTTCTCCAGCATCCAGGTCTGATAAAGAGGTCATATTTCTCATTGTCCTAAATGAGCAAAATCCAAAACCCTGTATGGTCTGATCCAGCATGTCTCTTCTTATGTTTTTATGTTTTAACATAGTCAGACTTCCTTAATGTTTTTTCTTGGAGCCTTGTAACTCTAATTCGTCTGTGATAATCACCTGTAAGGCATATAAACTTTCTGGCCTGTTTATTTGCGCATTATTTTTATTGATGTCTTAGAAAGATCTAGTTTGTATTATATTGTATCATATTTCTTTTTATTATAGTTCTACACCTTTAGTAACTGGATGCAGGTATTCATGTGCCATGTGTCACTGGTGACACTACTCACTGTTTTCCTAACATTTTCAAGTGACAAAAAACTTAAGTCTTCATTTAGAATTCCATCAGTTGCCCATAGTAATATATCTTCCCATAGTCAATTCTGGTTGTTTTTCATTTTACTTATGGATGACCTGTGATACCATGTCTAATGTAATGCTTTAAGGCACAATCCAATGGCTTCTGCATTCAGTGCATGTAAGCATCCAACGCACACTGCAAGGAAAAGAGGTGGGATAATGAATGAATGAATGAATGAATGAATGAATGAACTGCTGCACCACATCTTGCACCTTGCATTTCATCTAGACAGCCATTGTTGGAAAAGGAAGGAGGCCACAGCACCCTTTGGGTACAGTATTAACCATCAGCTCTATTCTCTTCCCCTCCCCAGCATGGCCCTTTTCCTATTTCTAGGATTATTTTCCAACCACAGAGAGGCAACTGACATGGTTCTTTCTGCACCCGCTTCATGGGAAGGCAGAATGGGAGGTCTGTGTTCAAGGTCACAGGATTTGGGTACTGAATAATCCCATGCCCACCCTCCTGCACCAAGACAATGTCCAAATATCATAGGATTGCATTCTTGGTGTCACTCCATTCAGTATATGTGATTATCAGTTCAGATAAATGGGGGAAAGCAATTATTACTGGGGCTGGGGCAGTGGGAATGCCACTGAACTGAGTTGAAGAAATGTGAATACCCAGACTTAGGAAAAGATGTAAATTTGTACCCGATCAAAACTGTACGTTTTAATCCACAACACAGGCTTAGCCATTTAGACTTAATCTTATTTTCTAGTTTTAATTAATTCTAGATCTAATTAATTACATGGTCATTTTCATCCATGAAGATTAGCGATGTATTATATCTAGGACTGAACCTCTAGTGTCATTAACTAGTGTCATTAACTTCAGTAATCTTAAATTCAATTATTTTTGCTTGGGTTTCTAATTGGACTCCAAAATGTAAGAAGTAGATCAGTGGTCTTCAAACCTTTTCAATAGGGGGCCAGTTGAAAGGTTGCAGTGACCATCACAGGCTGGTGAGGTGGGGGTGCCTGGGGGCACGGGCTGGTGAGGTGCCATTGGGCGTGCGTGAAGCAGCAGAAGGCGCACGCGGCGGTGGCTCATTTGCTCGCTCGGAGCTCTCCCAGTGAGTTCGAAACCATCTCCGAGCGAGCAAGCCACCGCCTCCCCACCGGCACAGCAAGTGTGCGCACAGGTGGCAAATGGTGGCGTGGACCGGATGGATGGCCATGGTGGGTCAGATCCGTCCCATGGGCCATAGTTTGAGGACCCATGGAGTAGATCATTTCAAATATTTCCATTCTCCATTATTTTTTGCTTATTTGTGTTTAGGTGCAAATGACTTCAGTGTTCAGGATGCCTGTCACTACATCCTTTCACTCTATCTGCAGTCTGACTTTTTACTTGTACTTAAGTATCTGTTGCTACTCCAGGTATACACCCAAGCAGTACAAATTTAAATACAAATGACATATAAAATTTGCAAATTATTTGGCATTGTATGTGTGTGCTACTGTAGGGTATATGAATGAGATAGTATCATTCTCCCGTATGTGTAGGTTTTTGTTTATATAATGACAGCTTATCAGTGTAACAGTCAATAAAAATGATAAACTACCTTTGTAGCATTTCTGTTACAGTGACTGTAAGTATCCTTCCCCACTAGAACTAAAAGCATTAATCAGAGAATGTAGGAAGTTGACAGTTTTAATTGCTTAGCACTGGCACTCTTTAGTCAAGTGGGGGCATCATTGGTCTTTCAAAGATAGGCAGTCTGGATAGGACTATTTCTTTGTAAATGTACATTTTTGAGAATTACTAGTCACTTGTTTTTTTAACCTTTAACTTTTTGACAATCTTTGTACGCTTGGCATTCTTCATGTACACATACAGAAGGCATTATCCAAACTCAAATAGTTTATGAATGAACGTCTTCATTTTTTCCATAGTTATGCTTAAGATTTTGGATGTATTCCAATTTAACAACTCTACCCATTTAATTGCATGTAATAACCATTTTAAAACTCTGAAAAAGCCAACAATTCTTCTATATGAATGTTAGGGGAAATTTACCTTTTAAATATAGAAAGAATAGTAATTGCTATCTTAAAATAAAATGGCATGCCAACATTCTAGTTTATGGCCTTGTAACTGATTTTCATTGCGTGGCAACTCACATTCTGACTTTGTTCTTTTATGCTAGAGTAGTAGTACCCAACTTGTGGTTAGCTTTGACCCTAGTATGTTTTAGTGTTTTGCAATCAGAATGATGTCTCTGTTGAATGTGTAATGTCTTTATGGAAAGGAATACATTTTGAATAAGCTTTCTAAGGGAGTTGACAAGGCAAAACTACACTTATTGGATGGCCAAAGTACACATTGGTGCACTTGTGAGAGGCCAGCAAAAATTTAAAAATTAACAATGCATTTCTAAGGCACCCAAAAATAATATATTAAAAGGCAAAGCTTAATAGTCCCTCTAAATGCTGTGCTGGCATCAGTAGAAGGCAGTCAATGATGAGATCACAAAATGAGAGAAGCACATCCTGTCAATCACCACAGCCCATAAGAAAAATCTTTCTTTTAGGTTCAGGTAACAAAACAACCATTGTGGGCAGGAACAAACCTATAACACTGAGGTCCTCAAACTTTTTCAATAGGGGGTCGGTGGAAAGGTGGCAGTGACCGGCACGGTCCGGTGAGGCGGGGGTGTGCCTGGCCGCATAAGCCGGTGAGGCGGTGGCGGGCACACGCGAGGCGGCTTGCCCGCCCAGGGATCTCCCAGCAAGTCCAAAACCATATCCGAGTAAGCAAGCCACCTCCTTCCCACCCGCATGGCGGACCTATGCTATAACAGGTCGTAGGTTCCTGGCATGGCTTGTTCCCAAAAAATAAACCACCTCACAGAAAATACTTTAGGTTTGGATGCTACAACAGCCCACCATAGCTGCCCATGGTGGGTTGCCAAGTCATGTAAACCAGGCCATTGAGTTGAGTTTTGTATCTTTTTCAAAGTCACAAGGATTTTTAACTGACAGTTGCAAAGACCCTAAACTGCTATCAAAGGGTGCAAGTCATCTAGTAAGATCAATTGGTATTAATGTTTCTCTATCATTATATTCTTTAATGCTTTTTTTACTTCCCCCCACCCCCGCTTTTTCAGCCAAGCCCACCACCAAGTCCTGTTTTGGGAAGGAGGCCAAATGCTAGTCAATCACTGCTTGCTTGGTGCAAAGAAGTTACAAAAAACTACAGGGGAGTGAAAATCACCAATTTCACTACATCCTGGCGTAATGGATTATCCTTTTGTGCAATATTACACCACTTCAGGCCAGATCTTATGTAAGTAGGAATATTTTGTCTTTACATTTACATTTCTTTCTTATAGTGGTGAAATCAGTCATGGTAACAAATAAATACATCTTTTGTTCTTTGATTTCTGTCTCTTAGGATGTCATCCAATGTGGCTGCCCATAGCCCTCCAACTTGAGAGGATTGTGAGCATCCACCTGAGCATGGGAAGAATGTGGATTCAATGATTGGCTTTGCCCTTGTTCCCCCACCCCACTGTCTATGTCTTTTTCCCCTGCCAGTGAGGATAATAGGCTGATACAGGCAGTCCCTGGGTTACATCCCAGTTATGAACCAATACTTAAGAACGAACTCCCATCATTTAAAAAATTACAATGTAAAATCGTCATCACCATAGAGGGTGGGGAAGCAAAAGGGGAGAAAGGGAGGACCTCCAAAGCATCACCATAGAGAGAAAGGGATTAAAGGGGGTGGGGGAGAGGGAGGTCTGGAAAGCATGCCTTCCTGTCCCACCTCTCCAGCATTTCCTTCCTGCAAAGAGGAGGCACTGGTGAGTTTGGATGGGGTGGGATGGGGTGGGGTGGCTAAAGATGGTTACATTTTTTCCAGTCAGATCATGTGGCAGTCTTGTGCCCCTAACCCCCATGGCCAAATACCCATGATCAGACTTACATTCAAATTCTATTCAAAGATGAATTTCCATTTTCGTATGAACAGAACTCATTTGTAACCTGGGGACTGCCTGTACTTTGTGTCCGAGTAGAAGTTCATTCCTTCTGTCCCCATCCCCAGCACTTGCAACTTTGAGCTGGAGATGCAGACAGAGTACAAATAACTTGTACCAGCTGCAAGGGCAGAGGGAAGGCCCTCCACATTGCTGAGGTCAGAACTGGAACTACAGCCTCTTCTGTGGCAGTCTGGACAGTGTGCAGCATTTCATTTTCATTTTTATGACAATGTTTAAATGCTATCTGGTAAAAAGAGGAGAAACGCAGAGAGGCCTGTATCAATATGAGCTTTCCACACATTCTTCTAAAACCATTCCTGTTTCTTTTTCACATAATTTTTCTATGTGCTTTTCCCTTTTTAATCTTATAGAAAGAACTGACTTCAAGATTATTATGAAAATTGTGTTTGTGTTGAAATGAGATGAGACAAATAAGCCTGTAGCTCTTTTGTACACTGACAACTAAAGATTACCTTATGGCAAATATGGTTGTCAAAGCTAGCCTCAAGCCCCTGCCTTAACTTCTCTTTTTAGATGGAAAGCTTGAGGCACTGAAACATGCAATCTCTGTATTTATATTTATGTATTTATTCTTTTAATTTTCCACACTATTAGTTTTGCTGATTGGATTGCTGTGAAATTACTAGTTACTGTATGATGCTATTTTTATGTTGAATTATTATTTTTTAGATAGGGGTTTGTTTTAAAAACTGCTGCTTTTATCAAGTACTTTACATACCCACTGTGCCATTTTCCCCCTCAGTGACTACAAGTCCCTGAATCCTCAAGATATTAAAGAAAACAACAAAAAGGTAAGAATTGCCAGAAGGAAGGGGAAAAATAGAGGTATCCTCAATTTTGGATCATGGCTGGGTTTTATTAATTTTGGGAAAGTGAGGTTGTTTTGGAAGGTTATGACTGCACCTCACTGGAGGGTTTTATGCATCCTGTGGCTCAGATTGGATACATTATTGATTCCAGTACAGCTTTTTTTAAAACATTCGCAACATATGCCCTGGTGGCCTTAAGGCTTCGTGTTTATATGGGCCTGTGTTAACTGAAGGAGAGAGAGAGTGAGAAGTGGTAGGTCTCATTTTATCATTCTATTTTTCCTAATAATTTAATTAAAATACAAAATATCATTGTTCATTAATTATCTTGCTTCAAGGCTTGCTTGGCCACTACTTTAATATAAAAGACCTCACTTATATGGTTATAATAAGCACTGTTTTTACTTTGGCTTTTATTTAAGAAAGAGAGAGAAATGAAGATAAAACTTCACATAGGCTTTTATCCAGCACAGTCAATTAAACTAAGCAGTAAGGTGCATTGGGTTTTTTATATTATGCAGAGTATTGAACAATGTTTTCTGTTAGTAACAAGATTTTTTAAAGCAAAAATATTAATGAAATACTGTCTGATAATGTTCTGGGTCCAGGTTTTTAATCCTCAATAATATTAGGTAATCTAATACCCTTTTGATGTAGAGGTTATAGAGACATTTTGAAATTAGTTCAGTGATTTGCGACTCAATCTGAGAATCACAAGGAGACATGTTGGTACTTAATGCTTCTCGCTACTTAAGTCTTTTACTGTAGTCACAAATTTTAATTTCCATAAGATTCTGGGGCTTTGGCCCTAGAGGGATCCATTTAAAAATTGCTCATTTTCCACTTGATTCGCCTACAACAAAACTAACTGTAAATCAGCTCAGTTTGTTTTATTAGCTGTTTTTTCTCATCTAGGCAATGTGCCTTTCTTCTTGTTTAACTGTTTTTTTTTTAATTACAGAATGTAAGATAATGTGCAGAAAAATTCAATGCCTCCTTCTTAAAGGAGTGTGTGTGATTAATGATAGATGGTTGATAACACCCCAATGTATATATGCTTTCAGTATTGTAAAAGTGTACTTCTAAGTGTTTATGTGTTTGTTTTCATCTGATTTATGTTCATGCTTCCTAAGCCCAGAAAAAATTGTCAAAAACCATGCCAACATTGCAGTAGCAGTAAAGTACGTAAAGTTCATTGGAAAAAATAATAAACATTTTTGAAATATAAGTGGATGCTGTTCCATCATTTTCGGAATTATGTGTGAAACTGCCTGATGACCTAAGAAGATTATCTGTGACATCACAGTGATTTCTGTTTCATTGTGTTTAGCTTCAACATCCTATGATTCTATCAGCTAATCAAACATGACTTCAAGGGCTTTTAGTATAAGAGCTAATCAAACATAATTATAAGTCACAGTAAATAGAAGGATTTTTTTTAACAAATGCTGTTAAATGTATGAATCAATTAGGTCATTTTTATTTATTAAAAAATTGTGGCTGGAAGTGGGGAGGAGTTATCACATAAAACCTATTAGTTCATTTCTATAATGCTAGAATGAGTCTCTGTATTAAAGGAGCAATTGTTGCCATGCTGTGGGGTTTTTTTTCCTTTCATCACTTTGCAACTCCTTGCCTGACAGCTACACTGAGTATCTTAGTTGCTTCCTGCAGATTTATTTCCTAGGCTCACACAGTTCTGCCTGATAACCCCATGTGCCCTTGATTGGAATGAACACAGCCCTGGGAACAATTTCCAAGTATAAATTCCATGCAGATGTATAGGTCATTTGACAATGAATAACTCATTCTAACCATTTAAAATCCTATTGATGGATAAGTAACACCCCTTTTGTCTCCCACAGTAGTATCCTGTAAATTGACAAGGGAAAGAAAAATAAATTGGTTGGCTTTGACTTTAGATGTAAGCATTAACTTGTGGAAATGCAATTCTCACTCTGCATTCTATTTTTACGAAACTGATAACTTTTAAATTGAATTATTCTAAAAAGCAAAAAATAGGATGCCACGAAAAGCATGCTAGCAGAATGTACTCTGAGGCTGCAATCCCACGAACACATTCCTAGGCATAAGCTCTATTGTACGCAGTGTGGCTGGCTTCTGAGTAAACATGCACAGGATTGCTTGAAAAGGTATTATGTTTATGTGGCAAGGGGAAACATATTTACCTCTGACATCTGACCTGAAGCAACATATCAGTGTGTTTAAAAGATGTTTGAATACTGCCTGTGGTGCTTTTGTTGATGGACTGCAATTGACATCTGTCAGTCACCTGATCCAAGTATGCTTTTACAAGAAACCCTTAAGTAGGAAATGCATTTATAATGGAAGCCCCATGTCAAATGTTTAAAGACCAGAACATTTAAAAATGCTTAGGTTATTCCCAAAAATAAGTCTAAGCCCAACATGCATTAAAAATATATCGATTAGAATGCTAACACCAAATCCTAATCATTCTTGTTAATGAAAGTTACCATGTTAAGTAAATAGTTGCTTTACACCATATGCTTATATGATAGAACAGGGTGGACAACTCCCATCAGCCCCTACCATCCACTGTGCTGGCTAGGTCAGATAAGAGTTGTAGGCCAAAACAGCTGGATGGTCACTAGTTGTCCACTCCTGTAATAGGCCAATGTGCTAGGTGCACATTACTTCAATATTACAAGGCACCTGGAATTAAAACTTTAAATTACGGCATGTGTTGAAACTCTACCATTGGTCAACTGTTCCTCTTAGTTTAGTTTAGTTTAGTTTAGTTTAGTATTTATAGTATAGTTTCTATTACATCCAATATTTCCTATGGATGATACTTGGTATCTTAGAAATAAATGAATATATTGATGCTAAAGAATTACTGCAGTGTAATTTAGCTGATCCTAATGCTGATTTCTCTCACTGAAATCCAGCAAAAGAGAACTGAGGAAGTGAGCTGTGATAGGTGACCCTATGAGCTTACGTGTTCCCTGTACCATTACTGTCACTAGGCACTTCTTACCATCCTATGAACTGAAATCTAATTTTGCAGCTGAACAAAATCATGGCTAAGTGGAATTTATGTGTGAATGCTAAAGCTTGCAAAAGTGTAACCTGTAGGATATCAGAAACCATTTGGTATAACCAGTCAACCCCATCTCTTATGTACCTGCAATACAATCTACTGTTTCATCAGTGTTATAACCCTAGAGGCAGGGCTAGAGCGGGGGTGTATTTTGACTAAAATTGTGGAGTCAAGATTGGACTTTGTAGGTTTCATGAAAGCTTTTACTCCCTAATGCAAGTCTTACAACTGTACAGAGAACTACCTCCCATGTTCATGTCAATCGACTAAACTGAGTCTACTTAGGTATTTGTCTGTGAATGAAAAAGGCAGTTACACAAGAGATACAATTCTCTACTTGCCAAGTGGAAATTCTTTATAAGGAAAGTGTTGAATTTGAATGTTTCTTGATAAAAACTGTTTTGGACAACTTTTCAGTTCACGTACCTAAGCAGATTAGAAAAAAAGGATCTCTAAAACACTTTGGGAACCATATTTCTTGGGTAGTTGTCTTTTTTTCATTATTGTTTCTCTTGGATTTTTGTACAGATGTATCAGTCTTCTCTGTATTTGTTGATGTCTGTGAAAAATCCTCAAGAATTAGGAAAATTGCTTCTACCTTTAAATGTCAATTTTTGTCTTGCCTTCTTGCTGAAGTGACTAAAACCAACTTAGTACATTAAAAAAAACAATAACAGAATTTCATAAGCACACCTGGAAACATCAGATTAAAGAAAACAATTAGTAAATACATAGCTAGTTTTAAAAAAAATGGTGTCCAATTAAAAGCAGGACACCAATAATTAAAAAGCACATACCCCCAAGATATGTGACCATATGCTAAAGAAAACATGATGAACTTGACTTGCTGCCTAAAAGATAATACAAAGATGAACCTATCTTGGGGGTGAGTTACATTATTTGGACACCACCACTAAAAAGACATTCTTCCAGTACTTACCTGCCCAATTTTAAAGGTGGGAAGGCCCAAAGAAGATCCTCTAGTGATTATCTTAACAAAAAGGGCACTTATGTATGGGAGTGATGCTTCAGATACCCTAGTCCCAGGCCATTAAGGCCTCTTAAAAACAAGACCAACTCCTTGAATTCAGGCTAGTGGAACTTTTCTATGATATGTCTGTAGTCAGTTCTAGTCAACAGACTGCCTGCTACATTCTTTTGGATGTATCTATCCATCTATTTTATTGTAAAGAAAGAAAGAAAGATGTGGCTACCTAGATTTGAATATATCAATCTATATATACTGAAATGTCTTACATCCAGATTTCTAAGAAAAATACTTCAACAAAAGCTGACCAAATATTCAAATATGTATTCAGTTTCAGGTGACATTTACATACTACATGCTCAAATGTTGAAATAGTAAAGATGTTTATATACTTGTCAGAATGGCACAGAAAATCCATGTGTAGAGACCATGTATTACAGGATGCAGAAAGATAGTTTAAAAGAGCATATACATCAGTCACTGTTAAAGAGTATTCTAAAAAAATGTATCCATATTATGACCTCCTCCCAGAAATAAGCAACTGGGCATCTGCAAAACATCTGCATAAAGGAAGCATTAGTTGCGTTATACCTTTAGCAACAAGGCAACTTAGATAAAACCCTTATTAAGTTACTTGTGGCATCCCAAAGACATGAAACTAATGTTTTCACTGAAGAACGTGCAAACTGAGATCCATGATTACATCAAACACAGATTCTAATATGCCAGTCTATTGCTTAGTCAAAAAAAGGCACTCAGTCCCGATTCCATTCCTGCCTAAAACCCTGTGCTTTTTCCACTAATCAATTTGCCTGATAAGCTTCAATAAGGACTTCCAATAATGGGGGAGACTAAACCTAGATTATAACAAATGTTGCAACTGTAAATATGCCATTTAACTGGGGCTGGAAA